GTGATTTCTCGCTTTCTGTTTCTCTCTCTCTGTCTTTTTGGCTGGCGCACACTCCCTATAGCAAAAAAACTCTGAAAAAGAAAAAAAAAAGGAGAAAAAATAGAAAAGTATAGAAAAATACATGACTTTTCCAATGACCCAATATATATGGAATACCAACTTAAATATGAAATATTTTTGTAAGAAATTATCCTTGACTGTACCTTTCATTTTTTAGTGTTACAACCTCTTCCTTTGTCTGATTCAGAAGAGTTTTGGTTATCTCTAGTTCATTTTCTGCCAGGCTAATTCTTCTTTTTATGTCTTCTTCTTGCCTTTCTTTGGCAGTCAGCTCTTCCTGTAAAGTTTTATATATTTGTTGACAAGTCATTAAAGAGTCTTCCTTTTCTTTAAGCAGTCTAGTGTGCCTAAAAAGGACCAGAAAAACATCATACCAACGTGCATTAGGTATTGCATTTTTATATTTATCAAAGCTAACTGAAAAGCACATTTGAAATTATAAACTTAACCTTAAAAAATTAAAGATGCTAAGAAAATAGATAGTCCTGTGATTTAAAAATTCTCCCATTTAGGCAGAGGCAAAAACAATGAACAATATCAAGACACTATAAGCTCTAAAAACATATTTTTATATAAACAGACAATGAGAAAAGCTAAGTGCATTTAAAATAAAATGTTATTTAAAATAGAGTTTTAAATTCAATTATTAAAAGTACTTAAAAATGTGCATTGTCTACCGTGACTCAGAAATGATGGATTCAAACTTCAGTTTTCTAAGTTCTCTTTGACAGTCATCAACTTCATTAGATTTATTCCTAAAAATAATACAAAAGAGATTCAAATTTATTATTTCAATATAGCTAAAGTATAAATGTTTTTCTATATTGTAATTTCACTCATCTATGGGAAGAATTTCACATTTTTCACATTATTTCTTTAAAGAAATAAATTACCAGTCCACTTTGATAATGGCCAAGTAAGCTCCTATCAGAAAGCTTAGTAAAAAACAATCAGCAGAAAACTATACACACACACTCAAATCTGCATGGAAAGTGACCAAAAGCAGGGAGATTTGGTAGGGAAGTACAGTTGACCATTGAACAATGCCAGGGTTAGGATCACTCATCTCCTGCTCAGTTGAAAATCTGGAACCAGCAAATGGTATAACAGTTAAGTTGCTGGGTGCCTACGTAGTTGATCTTGGTTCGATCCTGGACCTGGCAGCTTAAAACTCACACTGGGCGTGTGTGCGTGTGTGCTCAAGATCCCAAGAGGAGAATGGAGGAGAAAGGATTGCAGCATGGCCATCCCCCCTGGTGGGGTGATTTCTTGCTTTCTGTCTGACTTTCCAGTGAGTGCTTGCGCCTGTATAGCAAAGATTTCTCTTAAAAAAAAAGAAAGAAAATCTGAGTAAAACTTTTGACTCTCCCAAATTGTTGACTAGATGCCTTACCAGTGACATAAACAATGGATTAGCACATATTTGTTTTATGTTATATGTATTATTTACTGTATTTTTATAATAAAGAAAGCTAGAGAAAAGAAAATGTTATTAAGAAAATCATAAAGAAGGGCCAGCAAGTGGCGTGGTGGTTAAGGCTCTGGATTCACACATGGCTGACCACAATCTTAAGAGGAGAATTGAGGAGAAGGGATTGTGGTGTGGCCATGCATTTAAATGAACACATGCAACTCAAACTGGTGTTGTTCAAGGGTTAATCATAGGTGTTTGGAATGAGATAACAGCACTAAGTTAAGTTTTTAAAACATTATTTTAAGCCTGAAGGCAGGCCCAAGTGTGTACCACACAAGGGAACTAAAACACTGGTAGAAAACTCCTGTCTTTCTTGCCTGAAGAACCAGAGGACAGTATTTAGGGTAACCACAACTGCTGGAAAGTGATGGGGGAACTGTGAATAGATGAGAGGCAGAGAGAGGGAGTCCCAAATAGTGCATATAAATTCTGCCCACTTGTCTCGCTGAGCCCTGAGCAACTTGTGCACAGAGCAGACTCTAAGCAACCTAGTTAGAGATAAAAGTGTTGAACTGATACAGAACTGCTGCCTAGAGACAGAGTTAGCAGTTTAAGGCCAATCAAGTTAATTGCCTTCTTAAAGCTATACCACTGCCACCACCACCATCAACAACAACAATCACAACATTTTTTGGATGGATATAACAGAATCCACAATCTCCATAACATAATAACCATCATGTTCAGAATATAGCACGAAATTATTCAACATATTTAAAAAAAAAAACAAACCAGAAAAGTTTGACCCATTCTCAAAAGAAAGACAGTTGGGAGTCAGCAGTTAGTGTAATGGCTATGTCGTTGGCCTCCCACGTAGTCTACCGCGGTTCACGTCCCGGACCCAGTGGATTAAAACTCACGCAGGGCGCATGTGCGTGCGTGCCCAAGATCCCGAGAGGAGAATGGAGGAGAAGGGATTGCGGCGTGACCATCCCCCCTGGGGGGTGATCTCTTGCTTTCTGTCTCTATGTCCCTCTCTGTCTGTCTGGCGAGCGCATGCGCCCTATAGCGAAAACCTCTCAAAAAAAAAAAAAAAAAAAAAAAAAGACAGTTAACAGAGACTGACTCTGAGATGACCCAGATATTTTAGCAGACAAAGATTTTTGAAGGAGCAATTATAACTCTGCTCAAAGACATAAAGGAAAACCTGCTCTAATTGATAAATCTCATCAGAGAAGTAAAAACCATTAAGAAGAACCAAATGAAAATTCTAAAACTGAAGTAAATGTTTGCCTTGATCTTATGTGACTGGGTTTTGTAACAATACTCAAAAGGTTAATATATAAAGAAAGATTAATATTCCAATTTAAATTTATCTAGACTGCTCATTAATAACTCATGTTCTGAATGTATCTCAAAATAGCTTATAAACTGCACAATGAAGTATATTAGATTATCAGCGAGTCTACTCTACTTGCAGAATGACTTAAAATGTATTATGAATGATCATGTAAAAATCATCATGAACGGGCCAGCAGGTGATTCCACAGTTCAAATCCCAGATCCGACAGCTTGAAAATCATGCGTGGCTCCCGTGCATGTGCGACCAGGATCCCAAGAGAACAGAGGAGAAGGAAGTGTGGTGTGGCCATCCCCCCTTCTCATTTTCCCTCTCTCTGTCTTTCTTTGGCAAGTGCATGTGCCTTATAGCAAAATTAAAAAATAAAAAATAAAATAAAAGTGCTTGCAAAAGATGGTGTAATCATGTTCCAGAGTCAGAAGAGCCAGCTGGGAGGGGCTCTCACTCACTAAGCCTGGGACAATCTGAGTACCAAAATAATTAAGTACAGCAATAAATTATAAGTCATTGAAAAATAGGAACTTGTGAGTCTGTACAACACATACACAAATAGAAGGAGAGAGGATCTCCCTAACAGTACAATGCTGAGGGCTGACTAATAAAGAGGGACATTGTTCTGTATAGAAAATCATCATAAAGACTGGATAGGGCAAAGTCATTAATGGATGATATATCTAGGGATCAGTTTTGGTGAGGAGCAAGGTATTTGCATGTATTTGAAGCATCCCTTGTAGACTAATTAAGAGGGGACAAAAGCCTTTGGTAATTATACAGTGGAAATACTGAGCAATACCTTGACAAGGTGATCAAAAATTAACATCAACAGTGAAAGGCAGATGGTTATCACATGCCTCTGGATGTGAAGCCCTTAGGACACATCACCGCCTGCGGGGTTTTCTGGCTGAGACCACGCAATCAGGAGGAACATCAGGACAATACAAAATATGCAAGTTTCTATTTTTCAAAGCAGTGTGAGGGATCTGCACTTCTTAAAAACGCTGATGTCATCAAAGCAAGGACAGATTATGGAAACAGTCTAGATTAAAGTGGTCTAAAGAGACAATCGAGTACACTGACCCTAGGCTGGATCCTATACTGGAGAGAAAATGCTATAAAGGATACCATTCGGCCAGCTGACAGAACTCAAACATGGATGGTAAAGTATTGGGTTGTCGGGACAGTCATGACACACTTTTGCATAGAAGAATACGTCATGACTTTCCCGATGACCTAATATTATATGTTAATTTATGACACTGATTACTTGACTGTGGTTATTAAAAAATATCACCATCCAGAGGAAAGGAGGTCTGAAATAACTAGATGTAAAGAGCTATGTTGTATGTACGTTACTCTAAGCGATTCAGGAAAAAATATCACTGTATCTACACACATACATATATATATATATATGCATATATCTCTCTTTCTGGCAAGCATACGTACTCTTTGGCAACTAAAGAAAAAAAAGTGTGAAGATGAACAAAGACTGTTATGACAGAGGACACCTGCTATTTCATTTATCCTTTACCCCAAAATAATCTTCCAGTAAAACTGAATATAAATTTTGATGTCAGATTACAAATACGTGTATATATATATATGTATATGTATGTATTTTTGTGCGTGTAGAAAAAGAGAAAGCATATGAGTTAAAATGTTAACAACAGGTGAATCTGGGTAAAGACTGTGGATGCTCTTTGAACTATTTTTACCTTTTCGAAGTTTGAAGTTACTTCTAAATAAAACATCAGAAAAGAAAGAATAAGGAAAAGAGTAATAACGTACAGCAGAAAGGCAGGCAAAGGCTGCCTGGCTCCAGCGAGTCACAGAGGAAAGGCGACAAGGAGCCGGAAGTGCAGAGGTATAATTTTTATTGATTTTTAAAAATCATACTACTCTATATTGACTAGAAGTCGAGAATAGATATTTACAAATGACTACTACTGAGATAATAATTCGGCATACTCTTATGAGAGGGCAATGAGTCATTATACATTAAGAGCCTTAAAAATATTCAGGTCTGAGCCTAGCAAAAATTATCCTAGGGAAATAATGATGTATGAGTAGAAAGATCTAGCTGTATGAATTTTCTGAGAATCTTATTTAGAAAATGAAAAATTCGTACGTTCTGAAAATGAGGGATTAGTAAATAAGTCATAGTTCATCCATGGATTGCAGTACTTTTAGCTGTCAATAATGACCTATAAATGGGCCCAGCCATGGTGGTGCGCACTGCTAAGACACTGTGCTGCACTAGCTGGTATGATACGGGAGCTCCAGATTTGGTTCCTGGTCCAACGTAAAGGTCTTGCACCTTCACCTGAGATTGCAATCCCAGTAACTCAGGGAGACTGAGGCAGGAGGAAAGTGAGTTTGAGGCTGGTCTGGGTAATATACTGAAAGCGTCTGTAGAAGAGGGCCATGCCTGGTGGAGCACATATATCCTCCCAGCTCCTTGGGAGGCTGAGGCAGGAGGATAAATACATGAAAACTTGCTTCTCCATATCATGTAATGGCATGGAAAAATACCCAAGATACACTACCAGGTAAGAACAGCTTGCAAAACAGTCCATAATGTATGCTCCCAATTACATTAAAAGATACGCTTACTTATAAAAAATATAAACTGAATGGATATATTAAAATGTAACTATAGCTTCATTTAAAAAAAATTGTATGTGTTCTAAGTTTTATATATCTGCTCTGATATCAAACAGAAATGTTTCTTTTAAAAATGTCTTAAGGGACCAGCAGATGGTGTAATGGTTATATTGCTGGACTCCCACATGGTTGACTGTGGTTTGAGTCCTGGACCCAAAGCCTTCAAACTCATTCTGGGTGCATGTGTGTGCTTGTCCAAGATCCCGAGAAGAGAATGTAGCATGCTCATTCTCCCTAAGGGGTGATATCTAGCTTTCTGTCTCTCTGGCAAGTGCATACACTCTATAGCAAAATCTCTCCAAAAAGATAAAATAAACAAATAAATAAAAATGCCTTGAGATTAGAACCAGCAAGTGGGATGGTGGTTAAGGTACTGGACTCCCACATGGCCAACTATGGTTCAAGTCCTAGACCTGGTGGCTCGAAAGTCACATCAGGCACATTTGTGTGTACACCCAAAATCCTGGGAGAAGAATGGAGAAGGAATTGCAGAGTGGCCATCCCCCTTGGGGGATGATTTTCCACTTTCCTTCTCACTGTTTTGCTTCTCCCCCCATGTTCATGTGCCCTTTGGCAAAAACCTTAAAAGTCTTGAGATTTAGCTGCCCTACTATAATTGCATTATATGCTCACTCTTATATACACTTGGTCCAAGTCAAGAGGGGCAGTAAAACTCCATTTAGTGCTTATTTTACTAACTATGTGGATAATCACTCTGGGCTGTGAATTGTTTCTTTTTTAAAGTTTGCTCCCTAGGGTACCTCCCATCCTGAGGTCTCCCCTCACCACAGCTCTGTCATCCCCAATGCCAGTTAAGCCACTCTTTCTGGTCTACCCTTCACTACCCAATTGTTATCTTCACCTTCATTAAGATGGGAGGGAACTGGAAGGAGCAGAAAGACTGCCTATGTCTCTTAAAGCTCTGCATTCCTTCTTTTACTCTCAGCAAATAGTGCTAATCCTTTCTCTTCAATTGCCATCAATAAGACCTCAGAAGGGCCCCTGCTGCTCCTGCCACTCAAAGCAAAAGAAATAAGATGAAACAATTGGTTATTTTCCCCCAATTGGAAAGCCAATGGTCCATACCATTTCACTCCTTTTTGTGAAATAGCCCATCTAAACTGCCTCCTTGATATTTCCACTTAGTTGTCTAAAGGCACCTCAACTCTAACAGAACAAGAGCTTTGCTTTCGATTTCACCACACTGCATACCTATTTCTTGCACAGATTCTCCCACTTCAATAAATGGACAAACAGAAAATGATACTAACAGGTAATATGTATCTCACGTACTTCAAAGCAGTTCTTATTCCCATTTCATAGCTGCAAGAACTGAGACCAGAGAGATAAGTAACTTCCCTAAGGTGACAAAACTACTAAGTAATAGTGTTGGGATTCGAAAACCAGTAGTCTAGATCTGGAGTCTGGGTTCTTTACTCTATACTGCCTCTCAACAGTCTACCCTGATGCTGGAAAGCTTCAAACCCTACCCTTGTTCTTTCCTTTCATTTCTAGTCTCCATTCTCCCCAGCTACATCTCCTCCATCAGGTAATCCTGTCATATTGACCTCTGGCACGCTTCTCGCCATCTTCAGGTTACAGCCTGAGGCTAACCCAGAGTCCCTGCTCACTTGCACGAACACACAACCCTCCCACTCAGTCTCCACGACTTCCATTTTACTCTTACTCCAGTCTCTTCTCCAAGTTGTAACCACAGTGACTTCTCAAAATATGGATTAGATCACTCTCCTGCCTAAAATCCTCCAAAAGCTTCCTGCTGTTCTCTAAATAAATCCAAACCCATCATGTGCTCTTCTGAATACAACGGTAGCTTCATTTCCTATTGTTGCTATGACAAATTTACAACAAGCTTAGAGTTCAAAGCAACATACTTGTATCGTTTCACAGTTCTGGAGGTTGAAAGTCATAAAATCAAGGTGTCACCAGGACTATTTCTTCTGGAGGCTCCAGGGTAGAATTCATTTCCTTCTTTTCCTAGCTTCTAGAAACTACTTGTATTTCTTTCTCTTTTTTTTGGAGAGGTTTTTGCTACAGGGTGCGTGCGCTTGCCAGACAGACAGAGAGAGACATAGAGACAGAAAGCGAGAAATCACCCCCCAGGGGGGATGGTCACACCGCAATCCCTTCTCCTCCATTCTCCTCTCGGGATCTTGGGCACACACGCACACGCGCCCGGCATGAGTTTTAAGCCACTGGGTCCGGGACATGAACCGCGGTCGACTACGTGGGAGTTCAGCGAAATAGCCATTATGCTAACTGCTGGTCCCAGTAGTTAAAATCTTAAAACAAAAATTATCTTAAGTTGGACAGGTGAAGACCTTTCCTATTCCCACCCCCTACAAAGTCTGAAGATAAAAACTTTAAAGAAACTATTTTCATAGCATCTTCTAATTTCTGGACATCCAAAGACATGTGGGTGTATACAGTAAATCCCCAATTTATTAACAAATTGTATGTCCAATTTTTTGAACTAATGATTTTAATTTCAGAATTAATCATAAAGAAAAAGAAAAGATGGTCAAGTCACAGACTTGGCTAGAAGTATATAGTACTGGGAGACCGCTGACCTCTAGCACCTGGGGCTTGAACAGTCCTGGGTTCTGATGCCAAATACCCACCCTCCCTGACATAGTACTAGCAGTGAAGAAAAGCAGACAGAGCATACATGGAAGAGCTAGAGTCAGGTAAAGGTGGAGAAAGCACTTGGGGCTATTTAAGTGGCTCCATCTTTTATAACTCACTTTTCTGAAACTGGGTGTGCTCTGTGTGTGTGTGTGTGTGTGTGTGTGTGTGTGTGTGTCTGTGTGTTGTTTTAGAAGGTCTTCTATGGGCAGGAAGCATCAGTTTTATAAACTGACACAAAGCATAAACATTTCTGTAATTGTTCAGGTAATTAGTTTGACAGACTTTAATGAGCTGGTATAGCTTTTCCCTCCAACTACAATCTACCATCACTCATAATTTCTCAGCATCCATATTACAAACTATGCTAAAAGTATAATTAACAAAAAGTACCACAAAACCTGTGCTAATATTAAATGCTACTAGTACATACTAAGACTTAGTCTGCAATAAAATTTTTTTAAATGATAAAAAATGCAAAAAAAAGCTTATCACAACTGCTAAGCTTTTTCTTTCCTTTCTCAAGTTTATTTATTCATTTCCTCCATGAATGAGAGAAATATAAAACATACACACACACACACACACACACACAGCACCCTCAACAGAGTCCTGATACCACAATCCACCCACAATTTCAGCCAGCCTTAGATCATGGGCCCATGTTTGCCCAGTATACTCAGGGAGGTTGCTGGATATGAACTGAGAACCTTCCCATGTGGGTCAGCCTTTTAGATCACTGCGTTTTACCAATGCACTACCATCCAGCCTCATTTTTTTCCTTTTCTTCAGTATGCTATTTCTATGTTAAGCTTCTCTCCTAACTTTCTAGGACTCTAACTAATGAGTATTAACATGTTCATGAGTTCCCTTTAGATTATTTGGGTGCCAGCACCACTTTCCTATTCCAGAACTGTGCCTTCTGTACTTCTAAAGCTCCCAGAAGCAAACATCACACAATAGCTGTGGCCTGCCTAGACTGCTCCTCACGTGAGACATCTAGATCACCAAAGCTCTACCCTCCACCCTCATGTTCCCAGAAGGAGGGGAACAATGATTCCACCCCCCATACCCAGAACCACTATCTTACTTCTTCTTCGTATTTCTTGTCTTCCAGAAAGTGATCTCCTGGGCCCAAGGATTCATCCAAGGACTGCATGACTACTCAGTTCTTTAAGCCCAGCCATCATATAAAGACAACAGAGCTATTCTAGGTATTGTACTATTAACCAGTGTTATAAAGCACAAATATTTTGTTTTTATTTTTCTTCAAAAAACTATTTTGCTACAAGTAATCCAAGCATGCATTGATTTGATGGGGCATTTGGAATTTGTTCTTCATTGTGTTGTTCAACATTTTATTAAACACATCACTCTTAGGAGCAGTCCATGGTCAACAACAAACATCTGGTTACTAAGCATTCTAAATATTTATATTTCTTATGAGTTCATTCTTCTAAAATACAAGAATTGAAAATGAGAGCCACCAGATTATACACCACAAAGTAAAATAAAATACTTACATTTTTCAAATATACTTATATATATATATTCTACTTTAGTGTTAAATTATAAATATACTTCCTTTATACTGTGAAGTATTTTTTAAATTTCTTAAGAAAAGTCTTTTTTTTTTTTTTTTTTTTAGGTTTTTGCCATTGGGCACATGTGCTCACTGGAGAAATACAGTGAGAAAGAGAGAGAAATCACCCCCAAGGGGGATGGCCATGCCACAATCCCTTCTCTTTCATTCTCTTCCTGGGATTTTGGGTATGCATGTACACGTGCCTGGCATGATTTTTCAGGCTGCCAGGTCCAGGACTTGAACCACAGTTGACCATGTGGGAGTTCAGGGCCTTAACCTACTGGCCCCAGGAAAATTAATTTTTAAAAGAAATAGTACTCTGGATATTTACAAGATCATTTTCTGAACAGTTGCTTTCCGACATTTTTTTTAACCTAAAGCATAAGTACACCAACATGTCAAAGGTTCCACGAAAACTAACATTGGTCATTTTAAGAAACAACTTCAATATTATTTCTTGTGGACAGATAATAAAGAGACAAAGATAAGGAAAAAACTCAAGAGAATTTCATATTAAGTTACTGCATTTGAACAAATGGTGGAAGCTTTAATACCTGGATAGGCAAGTTTCTTCTTAAGGGGAAGAACCCCTTTACGTATGTAAAAATATTTCCACGTCCTTCAACACCCTGTCATCCAGCAAAGGAGCCAAACAGCAGTAGACTGTCCCCACACAACTGAGTCCCTGCCAAAGGTCACAGAGAACACACTGGGGACTTCCTAAATTCTTTGCGTGTGACACATCTAAGGGCAATGTCATCTGACAAGTCATTTAGTGTTCCCCATCTTACATGAGCCTTTCTTTATAGCTGTCCATCTCCATAACGGCATTCTGAAGTTTCAACCCAAGCGCCTCTACTTGACATTGTAAATCTGAAATGACACATGTATTCATCTGATTAGTACATTTTCAAGTGTCCAGATATTTTCATAGAACAAACTATTCTTCTCACGTTGCCACTCGGCTTCTGAAAAAGATAGCACCTGTTTACTCCACTTGGCCTATATGACCACATCCAGCTCAGCCCTCTCTAACAACCCGTAGGATAAATGGGGTTTGACAGACCTGATTTGTTGGCTTTTCTCTGCTCCCACTCCCATCTTTATGCTAATTTTCAAATAGCAAATAGGCCAACTTTTATTAATGTTTTCCAAGGAAATTTATGTAGCCAACACATACATTTTTCTCTCAGTCTCTGTCTCTCTCATTGCAGAAATAAATAAGGAAACTTTAAGAAAAAATTGTTGAGGAGATCTCTGATCATGTGACTCACTGATGACACACTTGACTGCCTGAGCTTGCTCTCGTGGTCTGGGACTGAGAAGTATGCCACATCCTCTTGGTAGAAATGAAATAGACAAATCACGTGACAGGCTCATGGTAAGAATTTGCTAACTCTGGGTAGCATCTAAAAGGCATTTAAATGACTTTCAAAGCCAAAGAGACTACGAGCAGGAAATTAGCTTCCTCAGTCTTGAACTAGAGAATTTAAGCAGTATTTGAGGAAGATTATTTAAGCAGTGATGCCTAACATGTGTGTGGATCCAGAACTGAAACGACAGCAGAAAGAACAAATGGCTTGAATTATCTAAGTCCCGCCATTAGCCTGTATGTGGGAATCATGATCTGAACCCTAGCCCCAAGGACAGTCCTTGCTGGTACTCGTTTTGAGAAGCTAAAGTGAAAAAACAAACTTTCGCAAATGAAGTAACTGGTTTCTACAGATTAAAAAAAAAATCAAAATACTGGAATTATAAAATGTCTAGGTTTCATCTTCTCAAGTGTTTTAATAACATTTTAAATAGAAAATGTTAAAATATTTATGCATTTATATAAATACATTAACCTTTTATATAAATCTTTAATGTGCCTTTATGAAGAGCAATTCCTTAAATCTAAAAAAAAAAGTTTTAATTTTTAAAGAAAATAAATTAGCTCTAAATAAATGTTTTAATTAGAATTTACCAAACATGTGTATAAATGTGTATAAATCTTTGCTTACTCACTTTTAAATACAGTATTTTAAAATTTACTAATCAAATTTTAAATTGACAATTGCATGTATTTATTCTATACAACATGATGTTTGAAACTTATATACATGGTAGAATAGCTAAATTGAGCCAATCAACATATGCATTACTCTCACAAATTTATTTTTTTTTGTGGTAAAAACACAAAATTTACTTTTAGGAATTTTTAAGAATATAATATACTAGAATTAACTACAGTCACCATGTTGTTCAATAGACATCTTGAACTTACTCCACTTACCCAACTAAAATTTGGTATCCTTTGACCCAACATCTCCTTACACATATTGTTCTGTTTTATCCTTCATACTGCTATGTGGGTGCTAATAGCTCAGTTTTTCCAGGTGAAAAGCAAATGTGATCCTTTCAATTCTTTAGCCTGGTGTCTTAACAACCAGTAAGTAAATTAACCAGCAGTCGAGCTCATGGAATAGTTTATACTCTGCTAAAGGGGTCTGTTTTAGAGGAGGCCCCTCAACAAGATTCAGCATGAGCTTACTTGACAGATATTTGTGGGTTATATTTTTTCTGCTTACCGAGAGATATTATATGGGAGAAAAGAGAAAACGTACACAGGGAGTTTATTTTGAGGACAACCTTTTGAAAACAGCAAGCCCTGTGAATGTTCTTAATGTGCTTCTTTGTTATTAAGTTCAAGTGGGCTTGCAGAGGGGTTCTATTGACACAGGTTCAGCCAAAAGAAAAGAGAAAACGTACACAGGGAGTTCATTTTTGAGGACAACCTTTTGAAAACAGTAAGCCCTGTGAATGTTCTGTAATGTGCTTCTTTGTTATTAAGTTCAAGTGGGCTTGCAGAGGGGTTCTATTGACACAGGTTCAGCCAAAAGATTTTGACTCATACTCTGAAGAATGAGGAAGGAAGGAAATTGGTGTTTGTTGATGCATCATATCCAGGCACTGTGCAGGGTGCTTTCTTCTATAGCATTTATTTGTAAATAACCACAACCACCATGAAAAACAGGTGTATATTTTCTTTTTACGGATGAAGACTCTCTAGATCAGAGAAAGTAATTAACTTATCAAAAGTAACCTGCTAGTTAGAAGTGATCTCGTCATTCAAACTCAGGTCTGTCTGTTCCCAGGTCCTTAGCTCTCTCACATTGACTCTTGAAATATAAAAGCTGCAAGGGAATTCTATATTTGCCCATGAAAGTATAGTTAACAAGGCTATATATCCATTGCCATATCCCAAAATTCTTAAAGAGGTATACTTAAGACAAATGAAAAGTCTTTTTCTTACAAAAAATATATAGTAACTGACAGAATGCTTAACTCCAAATGATGGTCTACATTTTTGAATAGCTTAAAAATGAATATATTATAATGAATAAAATATTTTAAGACAAATATGGTACCACTGTGACTATTTTATGAGACTGACATCAGAGAGAATAATTATGCTTTCCTATTAAATGTCTCTTGTTGCTTTTGTCAGGATATAATCCTAAACTAGATAAAGCACAGGTCTGAGCCCACGTGAGAAATTTTGTTACATTACTTCTAAATATAGCTAAGTTTAAGGAAGAATTAATATCTTAAAAATAAACCCCAAAGGATTGGTACTTGATGTAAAAATTTTATGCAATTAATATTTAATTACTCGAGAATTAATAGAATGGTAGACAGTAAAAATGGTAGCTAATACAAAGCCCTTTTTTTGGAGATGTTTTTGCTACAGAGCATGTGCACTTGCCAGAAAGAGACAGAAAGTGAGAAATCACCCCCCAGAGGGATGGCCACGCCGCAATCCCTTCTCCTCCATTCTCCTCTCAGGATCTTGGGCACACACGCGCACGTGTCCAGTGTGAGTTTAAGCCACTGGGTCCTGGACTCGAACCGTGGTCGACTACCTGGGAGTCCGGCGACATAGCCATTACACCAACTTCTAGTCCTCAAAGCTCACTTTTATAACTTGATAAGTATTCTTAGGTCACATTCGAATATGCATGTACACCATAGTTCTAGAATTTATTGGATTTAAAGTAAAATAAACTATGCTGCCATAAGCTAACTCAAGAAGAAAAGCTATTTTATTTCCAATATTATTCTCTTTAGATACTCACCTAAATCTCCCCATCTCCTTCAATACCAACATATATAGCTTAGTCTTTAATTCATAATAGCCAATGAGTAGAGAAGTCACTTCCTCCCAGAATCATTGCTATGTATTCCACAACATCTCTGAGTAAAATGTGGGAAAATAATAAATGTTTTGCTTTAAAAACAGAAAGCTTTGAAGGCTGCCATAGGCTTTGATGTGAAGTAAACAGAAACAGAAAATACAAGTAATGTCAACAAAGATACAGAAGATGAGAAGACACCAAACAGAACTGAGATAAAAAAGATTTATTATAAATAAGTCATAACGTAAAAGGCCCATCAGTGAGTGTATGATCAGGAGTTGATTAATACATTTTCATGTTGTTTATTTATTTCTACTTTAAAAAATTTTCTAATCAAGAAGTGCTAAGAGTTATTTTTTAAAAACATAGGACATATCTTTGTTGTTCTGAATGAGGCATAAGCATCCTACTGGTTTATTAGAGGCTCTAGTAGACTAGGAGGGTTCTTTTGTTTTCAGAAGCAGAGTGCCCAGTTCCTGTCCTCAGTAAATAAAGGAACATAGTTAGGATAAGCAGCAGAGAGATTAAGCCACCTGCACAAAACAGCTCCTTCAGTTTCTAAGGAAAGGAGTTCTTAAATAAGTGTATTGTTCTGTTCAGGCCTTCTCTATAGTTAAATAAATTCGACTTCAATTTTCTGTCATTCAGCATGACATTGGATTATGAGGCAAAAGGCCCTGAATGCCTACAAAAAGAAAGGAAGCATTGGCTTTAAACACCACGCAGATGTAAGGCGGAACCCATGGAAACAATCCAAAATTTACAACAGCAAATTCTACTACGATGTGACTGCGTTCTTTGCAAATATTAAATAAGACGCAAATGATTTTAAATGAACAAAACAAAAAAGAGCTCTTAGCCTCTCTTCATACGCAGCCAGCTGCTTGCTGGATTGCATTACACCGACATCAGACTTGGGCTAATTAGTTATTTAAGAAAATCCTGTTATTCCAAAAGGTTTCTAGAAACTACAAACACAAAAAAGGTAGCTATTTTATAGGATGATATAAAACTTTATAGTCACTTGGAGGACATATTAGGTTAGTATAAAGTTTGAGAGAACAATACATAAAATCTTTATAGTGGAGAAATATTTTAAACTTAATACTTCCTGGATAAAGAAAACAAGTTCAAAGTGCTATATGGAGGAAAATAAATCCAGGTTAAAGAAGCATAATGTAAGAACAAGCAGGCAGAAAAACTGGCACCCAGTGATCCGAGGAAACTTTTTTCTCTTAGTGAGAAATTAAAGATTGCTTTTTTTTTTTTTTCTAAATGGTAGAGCTAACTGAAGACAGGGGAAAACAAAAGCCCAACTCTCTTAACATATCTTATCTAAAAGGATAGGAAGGAGGAGTCGCACACTCAAACCATGTTGCCCAGTTTCAAGTCCCTGGCTCTGTTTGGGATGTACGAGTTCAGGTGTTTTGGTCTCCTTGTCTGTAACATGATTACTGTCAAGTAAGACTGTTTCCGAATTAAATGACTCCTTAAAGTAAAAAGAACAGCAGCAGACACACGTGGAACAAGAGGTAAACAGCAACTGCTACCACTAGGGGACATGTTCAGGCCATTCCTCTACTTCTGCTCTGAATCTCATTACTCTCACCTAGAGGTCTTTGTTCATGCACCTGGGCGGGGGTCACCAGTGATTATTGTTGTGTGGGGAAAAGTAAAAATGGGGTTTTCAACTGT